CTTCATACCCACTAGGATGGCTAGTAACAGAAAATTGGAAAATTACAAGTTTTGGCCACAATATGGAGAAAAGTAGAACCCTAATCCATGTTAAAAAAAAAAAAAAAAAAAAAAAACCTCACCACTATCGAGTCAATTCTGACTCATAGCAACTCCTCCTTGGATTTCCAAGGTGTTATCTCCATGGAAGTAGACTGCCCAGTCTTCGGAGGAGTGGCTGGTGGGTTGTCACAGTGGCAGCCACTGTGGAAAAGGTTTAGCAATTTCTAAGTTAAACAAAGAATTATCATATGACCCATCAATTCCACTTCTAGGTATATAACCAAAAGGTGGAAAGAACCCATGTGTCCATCAACAGATGAACAGATAAACAAAATGTGTATATACATACAATGGAATATTCAACCACAAGCAAAACGAAGTTCTGGTACATGCTGACATGGATAACCTTGAAAAAATACTGAATAAGTTAGATACAAAAGGACAAATATTGTATGATTCCACTTACATGAAATATCTACAAAAGGCAAACAGACACCAAATTTTATTAGTGGTTACAAGGGCAGGAAGGGGTAAATGGAGGGTTATTACTTAAAGGTGTAGAATTTCTGTTAGGGGTGACGGAAAGTTTTTGGAAATGGAATGTAGTAGTGACACGAGGTAAATGTAATTAATTTCACTAAACTTTATACTTAAGAAAGGTTAAGTGGCAAATTTTATAAAAATATAATCACAATAAATTTTTAAAAGCATTGGAAGATTAAAAAAAAAAAAAAGATCCTTGACCTTTAAAAATACCACAGAAGATTGACCTTGTCTGGAAAGCCAGGGGCCTGGGACAGAAGGGGTTGTAAGTGAAAAGCAAGAGGAAAAAAGGCAATCAAGACTTGAGGCGCTGTCCCAAGGCAGCCTCAGATAAAAAAGGAACTGCTCCGTAAGGGTTTCTTGGCTGTAACCTTGATAATCACAGGCCTTCTGGGTGCAGTACCACTGGGTGAGTTCAACCACCCGCCTTCAGGTGAGGAGTGGAGCACAAACCCTTCATGCTACCAGAGACCTCAGGGTGGGGCCAGGGGACCTGAAACAAGCTCAAGAAGTACATTTAGAGGGCGGTGTAGAAAGGTGTCTGGCTGTAACAGCTATGCTTGAACAGGTGGCAAGACTCGGGTGTTTGGGCTGCAAAAAGGGATGCTGTGTGGCTGCCTCACTTACAACTCCATTCGGTTACACGCCAGTCCTACCACTTCACTTTCTCTGACCACCTCTGCCTAACCTTCAGGTCTCGGGCTCTGTGAAGAGTTGGATGTTGCAGGAAACAAACGTCTAGGGGTTGGTATTGAGCGTATGAGAAATGCATCGTCAATTTTTCAGATACACAGAGGCAGTAAAAGAGCAGTAGGTCTAAAAGTGCTTTTATTTAAAAAAAAAAAAAAGAGCTGGCACCTTCACAAAGAAAGAATCCCTATATAAAAATCCCAGACAAGTTACTGGATTTTAAATTTGAACTAATTTATAAAAATGGAATGGGACATACTACCAATAGAAATAATTATTGTACTACAATTTTCATTAAGATGCATCAAGTAGAAATTTATTTCCCATGACATGAAAATAACTGAAGCATTACAGAAAAGTATCTAAGTGGCATCTTCTCCTGAAACACTCCCAACAGGCTCCTTGGACTCTCAATATTGATGAATTCAGCAAATGCATCTCTACAGATACTCAATGGCATCACATTAATGGCATCACATTATACACACTATAAACTGGTCTACTGGGGAAAAGCTTACTTTATAGTCTTGACTGTCTACCCCACACCTAAAATGAAAATGGAAACTAGACACCGAGACACTGAGTGCCTAAGCAGGAACGCCATTTATTGCTTTCTCTACTATACATTTTTACATTAGACCAAGTGACTAAAATTCCATGTTCACAGAAAACAATTTGCCATTCCACTAAGGGAAAGCTAGACCTGGACAAAAGCACCTCTGCTCGTTTTCTCGCCCTGGGCTGGGAACACAAAAGACAGCAAGATCTGCCTGCTCTCCAGAGCTGTTTAACATTTAGACTACTGTCTTAGTATCTAAGATCAAGAAACCTACAATGAAATATAGTCATTATTACCAAAGGTCTTTTTTTTTTAAAAAAATTCATTGAAAAAAATAAAATTGTATTTTAAAAAATAGAGTAATCTCATAAACTGAGAACGTCAGGAACAAAAAGAAAAAAGTTAGTACTTTTTCCTGAGAGACAGCTCTAATAGCTAAAGAATGGACTTTCTCCTTCCTAGCTTTTGTCAAACAGAAAAACCATTTTTCCTATTTCTAAGGCATCAAAAAGCACTCTGAATGCAAATAGGTTGTTCAGGTAAAATGGGAATTAAGAAACATCAAAAGCTACTACAGTTTACTTTAACATCAAATATTAAATTTCACATACTTCTGCTTTTTATGTAAATTTGAGAATGTCACACTAAATTCAAAAATCTGGTCATATTTTATTAATACCTCACTAGTTCTTAGTAAGGAGGCCCAAAGTGTCTGAGCTCACATCCCAAAAAACTAAAGAGCTGCTCTAATGTCACCATCTGCAGCAAAACCAGTCAAACAGCACCAACCCCAAGAAACTCAAATAGAGTTAGAAATTCATACCAATACCTAATTCCTAAACCACTGGACTACCAGCAAAGGCCGATCAAATGCCGCTGGTTCAAAGGTAATGCATAGAACAAGAGTTACAGAAGTCATTTTCGAATTCTCAAAGCTCTAAACTTACTCAATCTCCACACTGGGTTCTCTAATTACTACAAAACTAAAAATTTCATCCCCAAATAATTCAGTAAGATAGTCAAGACAATGGTTAACATTTTTGTCATATGCGTAATTGATTGCCTGTGCTGAAGTTTTATTTGCATAGGTAATAGGAAAGCATGAATCAGTTTTTCCAACTAGTTCAAATTTTACAGTCTGATCTGAAATACTGAGTAAACACCACTGGCAATTTCCTTAAAGCTTCTTTTTCAAGATAGTTATGTTAGTTCATAAAATTGGTAACCATAAATTCCATGGGGACTGTCAATTGCTGAATTTTTTTTTTAGTAACTAACACATGAAATTTTAATATCTGTAACAGCTACTTAAAAGATTCAAGTGATTTAACTGCATCTCCAATTAGGCTACTTATTCAACATCAATGAGCTTATTAAAAATTCAGTAGGATTCTGTGGTGTGTCCTATTTATTCAAAATATCAATCTTTACAAGTAGATCAATATACCAACCACAGTAAACTGGGTGGTATTGGGCCCTAACAGAAACCCCCATCTTCTGTCCTGGCTATAAAGGGTGTTAACGACAACACTAGGCTCCTATCTCTTACATTCCGAAGGGCTCATGGCCCCAGTAATGGCTTTGCTGAGTTACAGAGCGCTGTGATGCCTTCTAGCTAGAACAGCACAGTCAGCACTCTTCCACAAACCCAAGGGTGCAATTTGAGTTACACTGAGTTATATTATGGTTATATCTTTACATGAACAGCAATGTGGCCAAAAATGACCATATTCAAATGAGATACCTGGTTACACAACCTTTTTAATCAGATTATGATTCAGTCTTTCATCACCAGCCTAGACATTAAAAAAAAAAAAAAAAATTGAGCTAGAATTTTGCTAACAAAAACAAAATGAAACAATTAATAAGGACAATCAAAGTTACCAATATTGGTATAAGCCAGATTCTAGAGAACTCCTACTTCAGTGATTGGCCATTTTTTAGTCTCAACAAAAATGTCAATATCCTGAGTTTTATCTATTTTCAATCTAAAATAATTTATGGAACATAAAAGCATACAAATGAATAAACAGAAGGAGCAGTACAAAAAGTCTGGAGGAACAGCCCACTAAAATAACACAAATAACATAAAAAGATGTTCTTAAGTGAAATAAATTAAAAGTTAAAAACTTACACTTTCAAGTTTTTTTAGAGAAATATTTTTGGGAGAGGAGCTATGGTGGCAGCAGCTTGAGCCCAACAGCTGCTCCATGGGAGAAAGAGGAGGCAGTCTGCTTCCATAAAGACCGACAGCGTGGAAATCCTATGGGGAACTTCTACTCTGTCCTACAGGATAGCTATGAGTTTGCATTGATTCTCTGGCAGTGGGTTTGGTTATTTTGGGGAGATGGCATGAGCTGATGATACATTTTTCTAATAATCAATTGGTTAAGATCAAATAGCAAAATGATTCTTCCAAAGAAATTTTTTGCCTTTAAAAATCACTGCCCCATGGCATGTACTTCAAACACAGTTGCAACTATCAGCTAAATCAATATTCCACATCCTAATTAATCTGGAGCTTTTGTGATCAACTGTTAAGATACTTTGTTTACTAACTTGACAGCCAAAATAATACCCCAAGATGCTCACTTTACTAGCATCTGCAGAAACTAAACTTTTGGTATGCAAGCTTCTCTAAACCCCTGCGATTTTTTTCAGAAAACAAAATAATGCTAACCTAATAATCCAAAAGTATCCCGAAAGCATAATTCTAATATGCATCAAATTAAAAAAAAAAAAAAAAAAACTATTTACTTTCTAAAGGTTAATTATATTTTTAGACAACTGACTGCAAACTGTCTTCAAAATGCAGTGTGGTTTCTTTACTTAACCCAGCATCACTATTAAAAAACAACTTGTATTGTTGGAAAAAACAGTACTAATATGTTAAAATTAGGTTTGGCTGTATATAAAATCCCTCCAAATTACAAAGTCATTAGTTTCTATAGCTCTAAGGATTTTTAATACATAGTTTAGAAAAAAATCACAAATATATTAACAAAGGTGGCGTTCAATCTGTCTTAATCTCAGTAACCAGATTCACTGAAACCAAGAACCTTTTGCATGCATGACCTGCCAATTCCCTATTCCTTTTGCCCACCTAAAAAAGGAGCATTTCTTGGGATCTCAAGATTTATCAAGAACATTAGGGCCAAGAGTATTATTTTTTACCATATACCATAAAAATTTTTGGTTTTTGCTCCCCACAAAAATCCATTTAATTTAAAACCAGATACTCAAATTACATGGCTAACATTTTTAGCTAATCAACTCTTCAGTGCTAATCCTAGAAAACAAACTTCAGTGATCTTTGAATAATGGAACAAGACAACATTTAGCCATTGATTTGAGTAGTGGAGGTCACACCTTTAACGTTCAAGCCATAAGTTGTGAAGTTTGGAAGGGTTAAGGTCTACTGTCCTGCATTATCAGAACTTGTTGTATTTTCAGTGCTAACGGGTTGCACGTTGTCTGCAAGGTTGTGTGCATGCTCAAGAAACAAATCTTTAAGTACACTTAATTCCTTAGTCAGCAATTTAATTTTTGCTTCCAACCGTTCGTTCTCTTCTTTGAGCTGATTCACTCTCTGCAGCGTATCCTGTGCTTTCTGCTTGCTTTTCAATCGGCTCTTTTTCACAGCCATGTTGTTCCTCTCTCTGCGCTGACGATACTCGTCACTGTTTCGATCCATGGGCGAGCTCTTTTTGCTTTGCTTGCTTGGAGGGACAGCTTTGCCTCCTCCTCCAGAGCCAGCGGGCACCAGCTGAGGAACCTGCTGTAAGCCGCTGGCATGTGCCTGGGTATGAATAACACTTATTCCATTCACTCCTGGAGTACTGTTTTGCTGCAATATCTTGCTCATTTGGGCAGGCTCCCTTGCCAACACAGGTGAAAATGAGGGCAGGATAATCAATGGTTTCCACTTTCAACTGCCAAGAAATCTTCACATGTACCTGGCTTAAAAAAAAAAAAAAAAAATTGCATTAAAATATTTGAAATGACAGGATAGAATGAGATTAAACGTGAATGTACCTAACAGCAAGCCAACATTAACTGATTATGCTGAGAAAGTCTACAGCAACTGCCAAGTGGTCTAGTGTTTCAGAAGTCAAAATCATTTCCTTTGGAAAGTAAGTCAAGGCAGAAGCACGACAATGCCAAATTCAGCCCACCTGAATCCCTAAAGGTACTGCCCATCTGTGACTGTTCTCAAAATGGGAGGGAAAAACAAAAGAATATCACTCATTAGGTAACATGTATGAATTAATAGGACTTGGCAAGCTGCCAGGGAGAAATTTGAGATGTTTGGGTTAAATGTGGAAAAACTGACTTCAATTATAGAAGAGACACCTGCAAGTGAACAGAGGGGAGAAAAGTTTCAAATGCCACTTCAAGTCAAAACAGGATGGTGGCGCACCCAGGCTAAAACACTGATCAGAAAGGCTGTACGCAGGGAGTGCGTCAGGCAGGATTTGACTTCCCTCCCAAGCACATCCTTATTAGATATTTGAGAATGATGTTTTATTTTGTTGCTTGTTTTTATTAGTAGTATTTTTTTAATGACTTCAAATGATAGCAACTCACAAAGATATACTGAGTTACTCTGTTGGATCACAGATTTAGGAATTCTGAGATACCTAGTTGGCTCCCCCACGCCACCATAATTCTAACAGCTCTTTCTTCTTGACATAATTAATAAAAGGCCAACATGAAACCACAAGGAAATAAACAAAAGCTCTAATGACGTATCTATCCAAGGAAGTGTAAGTACTAGGACTTAGACTGGACAAAGGGATGGAACACAGTGCCCACACCCACTTCACGCTGCTGACCGAGCTCAAACGAAATACCAATTCTGAAGTATCAATTCTGAAGTATCACTATAGTGCTGCCTGTGAAAATAAAGTCACCATTTCAGAAATTAGCTATATTTGGATTCTTATGAAACCAACAAAGTGTAAAAAGCACATCTAGCCTCTTATTAGGAGGCCATTCCAGGACAAACTGACTAAGTTGAGTGAACCATGTCCACCACAAGGTTATGCCTGAAAAAAAAAACAAATCCACTGCCATCGAGTCGATTCTGACTCATAGAGACCTCATAAGAATAGAACTGCCCCACGGCGTTTCCAAAGCTGTCAGTCTTTATGAAAGCTGACCACCTCATCTTTCTCCCACGGAGCAGCTGGTGGGTTCAAACTGCCCAACTTTTTTGGTTAGCAGCTGAATGCCTTAACCACTGAGCAACCAGTGCTCCTTGCATGAAATCATAGCACTCCGAGAAATTTAGAAAACAGTATTATGAACCGTAAGACTACCCTGTTCTCTTTTCGCAAAACTGTGGTCACTGCTTAGCTAGTGGGTAATCTGCCTCCTTCCAAAACATGATGGAAGATAGTCTATCTTCAGAAACGGACATTTCACAATTTCCCTTGATAATTTTATTACGTTGCCTAATTTCTCTTGCAGTTAGAAAATGGCTGTTCAGTATTAAACCCACTTCCATCGAGTTAACCCCAACTCATAGCAACCCCCTTTGGGTTTCCAAGGTAGTAAATCTTCACAGAAGCAGATGGCCCCACCTTCCTTCCGCAAAGCAGCTGGTGGGTTTGAACTGCCAACCCCCTGGTTAGCAGTCAAATACCTTAGGCACTGCACCACCAGAGCTCCTCACCCTTACTGCCATCTAACACACCTATTTATCGATATAAAGTGAATGCGAGTATTTTATTCAATTTCTAGGTACTTGTTTAACACCTCTACCAGAATCATCTTAATAATCATGATCATGTTCATCTATTCTCTTTATTTTTCATATACCAATTTTAACTTTAGTCCTGAAAGCTAATTTCTATAGTCAACTTGGCCAAGCTCAGAGACATCAACAATCTAAAGAACCAGGCCAGTTCTTGCCTTGGCTCTGACTGTGTGTTTCACTCTGGGCATATCCCTTCCCTTCTGTGGGCCTCAGTTTCCTCATATGCAAATAAGGGATGTGGAATAAGTAGAATGCCTTCCAGCTTTGAAAATACACCAGGAACTTCAGTCACTAAAAACTCATTTATTACAGGCTCCAAACTCAATGATGTTCACACACCTGTTTCTGTACCCAACCCTACAGGAAGAGAAGGGCTAGCAGTATGGCGATTCCTTAAAAAGTTGGAATTAGAAATACCATTTGACCCAGTAATTCCATTACTAGGTATATAGCCTAAAGAACTGAGAGCCAGGACAAGAACAAATACAGACACACCCATGTTCATCACAGCACTATTTACAATAGCAAAATGATGGAAACAACCTAGGTACCCATCAACAGAAGAATGGATAACCAAACTACAGTACATACACACAACGGAATACTATGCAACCCTAAAGAATAACGTAAAATCTGCAAAAGACCGCATAACATGGATAAACTTGGAGAACATTGTGCTGAGTAAAATAAGTCAATCACAGAGGGACAAATATTGTATTAGTCCGTTATTATAAAAAGTCAAGGAAATGTTTATATATAGAAGGAAATTTTCTTTGTTGGTTACCAGGGCTGGGAAGGGAAGGGAGGGAACACTGTTGGATAGGTAGAGACAAGTACTGATTTGGGTGAGGAGAAGGGCAATGTACCAACATGGTGGCACTGAGGAAGAGGAAAACATTGACACTGAGGAAGAGAGAGGTGCATGACAATGACATTGAGGAAGAGGAAGACAATGGCATTGAGGAAGAGAGAGGTGAACAAAAGGTACAGACAACAAAGACGAACCCTTTCGCACATACTGCATTGCGCTGTCAGTGAGGCAAGCAGTGATCTACGGGTAGACAAATGGGTGGACAGGCTGAACAATTACACAATCTACTTCCGTAGCGATACTGCCTCGGAAACCCAAGGAGGGGTCGCTATGAGTCGGGGCCGACTCGACAGCACATAACAACAACAACAACATGCAGGGGAAAGTGTACCCAAGACCATGTATAGGATTGGCAGGTGTCTACAAGTGTCTTTGTATGTTCTGTAAGAATCCCTAGGTATTTAGTAGAGCTGACAAGGGAAAAGATTGTAGTCACTTCTTGGCCACAGCCAACTACCCAAAGGGAGAGAGTAGTTGGACCTGTGGGCTCAGGACCATAGTCACAGGGGCCATCAAGCTCAACTGGCAAAACATACTACACAAAACCATTGCCCCACATCCTACTTTGGCAAGTAGCAATTAGGATCTTAAAAGATTGCAAGCAGCCATTTAGATGCAACAGTGGGTCTCTCCTTGTCCAAAGCAAGGAAGAATGAAGAAAACCAAAGATACGTGGAAACAATTAGTCCAAGCAACTGGTACACCATGCAATTTTCAGCCTATATGACTACGAAGACCAGAAGAACTAGATGGTGCCTGGCTACCACTGTCAGCTACTCAGAGGGGGAATCTATGTAGGAGATTCTGGATACAGTGGGAGAACCCAAAATCATTAAAAAAAAAAAAAGGAAGGGACCAGCTTTACTGGTCTGACAGAGCCTGATGGAACCACTGAGACTATGGCCCCTAGCTGCCCTTCAGGTCTAGAACTGAACCGACTCCTGTGGCTTCCTGACAAACAAAAGACAGGCATATGAGCTGAACATTTACATTAGGAAGATATACTCCTTGGAGAGATCCATCATGGGAGAACAGAAAGGCTGTGTATGCACAGGAGACAGCTGCAGGGGGCGGGGGGGTAGGAGTGCATGGGAGGGAAAGACACAGGGAAGAGCTAAGTATGGGGAGGAAGTGGGAGGGAAGCTGCTGCACTGGGGAAATTGCAGTCAATGTCATGAGACAAAGTGTATGTGAGCTGCTGCATGAAAAGTGAATTTGCTCTGTAAACTTTCACACAAATCACAATTTAAAAAAAGAGAGAGAGAGAGAGAGAGAAGGGCTAGCTCTGTTACCTCAATCTGACTCACCCTGCCAGGGTACTAAGCTGTACATAGCAGGCAAAGGTTTGAAAATGAACCTTCTGGCTTGAACAAGAATATTCATTAAATCTACAAACTGGTGAAAATTAGAAACTTGGAGATAATAACAGTAACTCCAAGAATGCAAAAAAGAAAGTTCTTCATCTGGTGACAAGCTAAGAAAGCAGCTCTCAAAACATTAAGGAAAATGAACCAAGTAAAGGGGGCCAAAGAGCCAAGTGCTCTAAAAGACTTAACTCCAAACATCATCAATTTTCATTTTACATTGAGCAAAACAGCTCTGCCTCCGATGTGCACGTTTTACAGTTTACACTGTTACATATGCTTTTGTTCCTTCCACAAACATTTACTGAACACCTATAATGGGTATAATAAGCAGTAAGTTTATTTCATATCTGGATAAATCAAACCAAATCAAGCCTACTGCCATCAAATCGTTCGCCACTTACAGCAATCCATTAAGACAGAGTAAACTGCCTCCAGTTTCCAAGGCTGTAATAAGCAGACTGCTAAATCTTTGCCCTGTGAAACAGCCAGTGGGTTCAAACTGCCAACCTTCTGGTTAGCAGTGAAGTGCTTACCCACTAAGCTACCAGGGCTCCTTTCGTATCTAGATAACTCAACCATAAATAAGTGTGGCTCCTATGTGAACAAATACAATTACAAAGTACAATCTACAGGAAACAGGGTGGCGCCCTGGTTTCTAGCACGTGAATCATTCAAGTAGGAAGCAGTAGGAAAGCTGAAGAGCAACAGTTCTCAAAATGTGGTCCCTGGACTAGCATCATCAGCACCATCTGGGAACTTGTTAGAAATGTGAATTCTCAGGGTGACCTAGGAATCAGGAACTCTAGGGGCGGCCCTGCACTTTCATCGTAACAGGACCTACTAGCAATTCCAATGACACTAAAGTTTGAGAGCCACTGCTGTCGATTAACAATGACTCTTAGGAATGCTACACTAAGTTCTTTAAATTAAAAAATCTTAAATTCAACTAATGTTCATTCTAATCAGTAAGACATGAAAAACTCAAAATGTTAGAATGAGTGAAACAAAATCAAATTTTCCAAGTTTCATTTAGGAAAATAAACCTGTCAAGAATGTTCTTAGTCTTTTAGTCCCTTTAAAAAAATACCTAAAAGAACCATATATCCCACCACCTTCCCTCAAAATAAATTACTCAATTTCTTCAGGAAGATCCAAAATAGCCATAAATGTTTCTCCCTTGCCCAAAATCATTAGGCTCTACAATTGTACCTAAAAAAAAGACACCTCACATCCACCGTTGGTCTCCAGTCCCAGTGCCACAGAAATTACTTCAGGATGACATCATCTCTCAGAGGCACTAGTCTCCTCTGGTTTAGTACCAGCACTGCCTCCAACCACTGTCACCAGAGCAACCTAACACTCAAATCTGAGCAGGTCACATTTTCCTGCTAAAAATTCTTCTATGGCTCCTGCCTATATGATCGAATCCAAGACCCTAGCCTTCCCTTTAGCCTCTGCTCCTTCATACTTCACAAGTCAACCACACATGCTTTCTTTCTTTCCCTGCTGCTCTCCCAGTTTCCTGATTAACCCCAGTACTATAGTTTATCTACCTGCAGACTAAGATGAAGGCAGGATTGTGTCTTTTCATCTTCACATGCCCAGCAACCAAATCAAACCAGCTGCCATCTAATCAATTCCAACTCACCCTATGAGTCAGAGGAGAGCTGGGCTCCCCAAGGTTTTCAAGGATGTGTGCGACCTTTCAGAAGCACATGCCAGGACTTTCTTCCAAGGTGCTACCAGCAGATTCCAAAGGCCAGTCTTTCAGTTAGTAGTCAAGCACTTAACAAGGGACTGACTGCTCAATAAATATGTGCCGAATGCTGGCACAAAGGGCTCAGGGAGCACACTTATTCCTCTAAGTATCTTACACAAAAATGAGATTCCCTGGCATTAAAATCTCTTAAACCACCACAATTAAATCGACAGTACATGTAAGAGAGTACCTAAATTTCTTGATCTTTCTTGGAGACATATAGGAAAAATGTGAGACTTCTAGTCACCAACCTATACATTGAACACCATTCTTGTCCAATCTTTCCTGCATTTCATTTGAGGACAACGACAGTTTCTATTTAGCCCAGATGTTTTCCATTTAATAACCTCAAGTTCTTAGGCATCCACTGCCAGGCTTTAACAATTTAACTAGAAGTGGTAAGTCTAGGTAAGCAAGTCAAGATTGTAGATTCCAAATGAGTAGGATTTTTATATCGTTGCTACTGCTTGCTTCGTGATCCAAACCAGGGGTCCATGAAGGAGAGTATACCCATCCCTTTAGGGTATACCTAAGTGATCCCTAAGATAAGAGAAAAAAAATGTATGTTTGTTTTAAATAGTACACACACATTGTTTGTAAATTTATAAATATACATCTATTCAGAGCTCATGCTCACAATTTCTTTTTTCTTTTTTTTTTTTAAACTACCACTGTCAACTAATATACCTAAACCCAAGGAAGTGCCTCTCCCAAGAATACACAATAAATTAGACCTGGAATTGTGGCTACCTGTATTTACCATTCCCGTGGCCAGGTAAAGCAATCTTAGACACAAGACCAATTCAACTTCTTGAGGTCCTATTTGTTTTTATTAGGGACTTGTGATATGTTTTTTAATTCCCCAGGGCTGAAACCACCTCTCCAAGATCAGAGAACCTTGCTGACAGTTATGATGTGCTCCTGAAAATTTAAAGAATCTTCAGAAAAAGGAAGTTTTGTTTCCACCTAATTTTTTTTCCCTTAGGCAGGTAGCACAAATAAATGAAACAGTTAAATGTGTCCACCTTAAGCAGGAATCAAGAAATTAAAAAATTATTCAGCTCATCTTATAATTTAGTCTGGTGAGGTTAATTATTTCAGAAACAAAAAAATTTGCATACCCCAAATACATCTCAAGTGGTAACAGCGGGCCACATCTTAACTTGCAAATATCAAGCACTTTTAGATAAAGAATTTCTTAGTAAAGGAAATTCATGATCAATAATATTTTTATTTCAAAATATAGGTGGCTCTGAGAAATATATATATATATTATATATAGTATAAATCTTCTGATGATGTATACATACATCATCAGAAGGTTAGTGGTTCAAAAAACCAGGTGCTCCACACAAGGAAGATGAGACAATCCACTTCAGTAAAGATTTTCCACCTTGGAAACCAAATGGGGGTCACTATGAGTTGGAATCAACTTGATGGGAGTGGGTTGAATTTAGTTTTATATATATATATGTGTGTGTGTGTGTGTGTGCATATGTATATATATAT